ATCGCCATTAAACTGTATGTATGTTCTTTATTCCTTCAAGGAGGAAACTCAGTCGTCTTTACAAACTGTGTTTCATTTTGTTGATAGGAAAGGTTTCATGTAGCCAGGGATGACCTGGCAACTACTAAGGCTAGTCTTGAACGCCTCCTGTCGACGTTCGAGGTAGGGGACTTACAAATGCGTGCCACCATGCCTGGCTCATTCATTCACAGATTGATTTTTAGTGTGTATTTTAATTAGCGTCCAAAATTGCAGATGCCCTCATGCATTTCTGCACATGCATAGTTTTGCTTGATTCTTTGCTCCCGCTCACACTCCATGCCACCTTCACTTCTACCCCTCTGCCCCAAGTCCTGCCCTTTCTACTCTCATATCACACGTGATTATTACCCACCCACCTCTCTTCTTCAAAGCTGAATTTCCCATCCCATCAGTTCGTTCCAGTTTCCTGTTTTCTATCTCCCCTCAATTCTCACATATATAACATGTAAAAGTAATATATATTATATACTATATGTAATATATCCTAAATATATTATATATAAAACATATCTTATATTATAATATAAGATATAGAATATATATTATATATAAGAAGCTGGCAGTTGCATAAGAAAGAACACTTACTGTATTATATTCCTGACCACTACTTACCTTACTTAGTAGATTATTTTCCAGTTTAACCATTTTTTTTTGCAAAGTTTTAACTTCATCTTTTTCTTTATGGATGAACAAGATTCCACTCTGTATATTTTCATATATTATCCATATCCATTCATCTGTCTATAGACACCAAGGCTAATTTTGCTTCCTGGTTATTGTGAATAAAGCAGCAATAAACGTGAATGTTTAAGTCTCTCTGTGATAAGATAAAAAGTCCTCTAGGCATACAGTCAGGGGTTGAAGTTGATCATGTTTGAATATTTTTTACATTGATTCATGTTTATGTGTCTATGGGGGGGGATGCAGATGTGTAGAGATATACATCCCATGGTGCATTTGAACAAGTTCAAGGGTTTGATCTTCTTCCATTGCGTGCATTTGTTCATGGACTGAACTTGGATATTCAGGTCTGGCAATTATATTTTGAACCATTTTTAGATTTCAAAGAGAACTCCACATTGATTACCATTGTGGCTTCACCAGTTTACATTCAGTTTACATGTTCACTTAAATTAACAATGAATAAAGGTTCCTCTGTCCCAATATCCTCACCAGCATTTTTGGTCCTGAGGCAGCCGTTGAGCTTCCTTTCTTTCTTCTCTTTCATTCTTTACTGTCTTATTTTTAACTTTGTAGAGCAGGATGTAAACCAGGTCCTCACATGCACTAGACATATACTCTGCTAGTGGAGCTACACCGCAGCCCCTCTGGGGGGGTCTTTTAGGCATTTACAGAGTTCATTATATGGACAGAGACTCTTCATTCATTTCCCGACAGTTCAGATCCAAACACTCACATGGAAACTATATTAATTACAAAACTATTTGGCCTATTAGCTCAGGCTTCTTATTAACTCTTACATCTTAAATCAACCCATTTCTATTATTTTATGTTTTACCATGAGGCTTGTGGTTTGGTACCTCTTGTTTCTTAGGTAGCTACAGCTCTCTGACTCCGCCTACTCTCTCTCTATATATATATCTCTTGCAGCCTGCCTATATTATGCCCTGCCATGAGTCAAAGTAGCTTTATCCATTAACCAGTAAAAGCAACACATATACAGAAGGATATCCCACATCATCCTTATGTAAATGTGTTGGATGGTTCTTGTCAATATGACACAAACCTAGACACATCTAGGAAGAGGGGATCTTAATCGAGAAAATGCTTCCATTACATTGCTTGTAGTCTGTGGGAAATTTTCTTAACTGATATGGGAGAGCCTAGATCACTGTGGGTGGTATCACCCCTGAACAGGTTGTCCTGAGGTATATAAGAACTCAGGCTGAGCAAGCTATAAATAGCAAGTCAGTACTCAGTTTTCCTCCTTGGCTTCTGCTTCAGCTTCTGCCTCCAGATCCCTGCTTTGAGTTTCTACCCTGACTTTCCTTCCTGATGGATTGTAAACTGAAATAAGCTCTCTGCTCCCTCCGTTGCTTCTGGTGATGGTGTGTTATGACAGCCATATAAACCCTAATTTAGACAGTCACAGTGTTGAATTTGTTTCCTATGTATCACTGTACCCAGAGAAAAGCTTCCCGAGTCAATGAGGGGTGGGGGACCTATATTTTCTTCCCTTGGACACATAAAGTTCTCTTTTTATGTCTTCTGAATTGATTCTAATAGAGTTGGGATGATGACATAAGTCTTAGTTTCTCTTCATGTTGCTAGGATTCCAGACAATGCAAGAAATCCAGATGTTTCTCTATAGTCGTGTTGTCTGGCTGATGTTCTGAGACCCCTCCCTATCATAGAACTTTGCTCCACATGGAAAGACGCTGCAAGCTAAAAACTCTGTCTCCATTGCCATTATAGTCAGAACTCTAAACCCTAAACCCTATAGGAAATCAAAACTCCCTGAAATTGTCTACATGGATTCTTTCTTCGTATGCAAAAAGAAAAAGAAATGAAGGAAAGAAGTGTGCAAGTTACAAAACAACGTCTCTCACACAATGGGGATAACCACTAACTACAGATCTGATAGTCACAAGTCTTGTCTCCCAAATCTCAGCTGGCCAGTATGGAAATAATTATAGACCTTGACAAATCTGAAATTCCATAGTTGAATATTCTAGAATAAAATTCACAGAGTTCTGGACAAAAAAAATCTATGAATAAACTGTTTTTTGAAATATAATAAAAATGCTCTGGTCTCTAAATTATAAATGTGAGGGCTATTTATAACAAAAAAAAGGTCAGCCTACTTTAAATGCAAACGGCCATGTAGTTTATGGAAAGATTTATGTCCACTCTCATAAGAGGCACTGTAAAAGACAGAGGCTTTGTTTGTCTCAGATAGAATGGAGGAATCTCATCTCACCATCTATCTGCTAGAAGACATCAGAACACAGAACGGCATGCAGCTAAATGTTTGGATGTTCACATCCAAAGAGTTCTTTGCCCTTCTGCTTACCTGGCCTCATGAATGTCTACAAATCCACCCTTCTGTTTAGAACAAGCATTAAATCACTTAGTAACAATAAACACCAGTAAGTAACATATTTAAAGTGATACTCTTTGTTGTGTGCCTCTGTCTCTTCAAAGACACATGCCATCAAGTTATGTCTCCTTCCATTGTATAGATGAGACAGAGAAGCAGGTGGCAGGAAGGTATAGGAGGCAGAATTCAGTCCCATGCTTCTAGATACTGTCCTTGTACTCTTTTCAGAGATACAGCTCAGGTGAGGCAGAGTTCTTACTTCAACTCAGAAGAGAATGTCAAGGCAGGTTGGTATGAATCAATGTTGGCACTTAAAGGTATTTTTCAAACATACTTGAGCATGAGCATTAATGGAAAGAAATCCCAGGAATGGATCAGACAGAATGGAATGTGGATGTGGACTTCCCTCGGGAGAACTGCTTGTCAGCATCTTAGAAACTGTCATGTATCCAATCCTGGAGGATTTTGAATGTGTACTGTACAAAGAGTGTGTAAAGAATTTTTCCCTTGCCCTTCCTTCTTTTCCACTTCCCCTTTTCAGTTCGGTGGTATCATAGGGCAGCACAACCAACAGTCCTGGACAAGGACTTTGTGTAAAGTTATAAGGCAAGACCATATGTACAAAGGTTGCACACGGGGATTGAAACATGAGAGATAAGCCTACAAGGCATCAACCCTACACAAAAAAACTACGGGCAACTGAGGAAAGCTGGAACAGGAGAGGTGGCCTTCTCCAAGAAGACCACACCAGTGCCAAATGGTCAGCCCTGAAAATATATCTACAGGTAGTATTATATGGGCTGAACAGGCTATAATTATGAATATATACATATCCATGTAAATATATTTATATTCCTATATACATACACACAGAGACATACACATATTCCACATACAGATGTAAATATAAGCATGTGATAACAATTAGTGAAAAAAGAGATCATAAATTTAAAGGAGAGCTCAGGGAATATTGTGGGAGGGTTTGGAGGGAAGAACAGGAAGGGAGAAATGCAATAAAATTGTGATCTCAAAATGAAAAAAAAATGTACTTTACTGTAAGTAGTTTATTGTTGTTGTTGTTTTTAAGATTCCTAAAAACTTCAGGACTATAGCTGGGAAAGAAGAAAGGGCATACCTGGGCATATCTACATAAGCTTTAAACATGACTATTTTAATATTTGTTCAGAATATTTCTCCAAAAAAGGAATGAGGGTTGTAGGTAAACAAGCTTCACATAAATGCTATTGGTTGTGCTGAATTTTAACTTTTCAATGCAGAGAGCTGTCAACCAAGCTTCAGAGTGAAGGGCTCTCTTCCCTCCTCATGCCCTCTTCCTGTCTCCTGTGTTCCTCTCTCACACAGACCCACACTGCTCACACAGGCAGATTGTAGGCTGTTTATTTCCCAGGCCCCTGACTCAGCCCTCTCTCTCTCTCTCAGATCTTTAAATACAGAAAATATGCTCTGAAAAGAAAATGATTTGGTGACCCATGAGATGTGTAAAGATAATAATTACATGTTGTTTAAGATTCCACAATGCCACTGTATACAGAAAGAGGAAAAACAAAAGCATCAATATCATGGAAAAGTCAGAATCTAGTAGAGAGAGAAAGATTAACTAAAATGGATGATTTATGTTGGTTGACATTCTAAAGAAAACAAAATTCAGCCTTAAATTGAAGACCAGTTAAATTTGCTAAAAAGACAAAAAGAAGAGAGTAATGTGGTTTGGAAGTTGTCTTTGTTCTGATGGAGGTGGGATCTACAGAAGTGGTTAGTGTGGTTCCCACCATCCCTTAAAGGCAGTACATTTAGCTTTATGCCTTAGTTAGGTTTTCTATTGCTATGATAAAAAACTGACCAGAGCTACTCGGGGAGGAAAGTTTTTATTTGGCTTACAGGTTATAGTCCATAATAAGAGGAAACCAGGGCAATAACCTGGAGACAGGAAATGAAGCACAGACCATAAAGGAATATTGCTTCCTGGCCTCCTCCTCACGGCTCATGGCTTACTCAGGTTGCATTTATATACCACCCAAAACCAGTAGACTGGGCCTTCCCACATCAGTAATCAACGAAGAAAATGCTGCATGGATTTGCCTACAAGCATTCTGATGGAGGAATTTTCTCAACTGAGGTTCCTTTTCCCCGAAAACCCTGGCTTGAGTCAGGTTGACAAAAACAAAATGTTAACCAGAACAATTTAGAGAATAATGCTAGAAGGGAAGGAGGAGAGGCTTCAACAGAACAGTCACGTGCCACTTGAAGAGAACATGTTGGTCCTCCTGCAAGAGAAGCCTTCTCAAATATCTTCACAAACTCATCTTGCTGCCCCTGCTCTCTGCTTCTTCAACTGTTCTTCACAGCTTTCCAAAATTAAGCCAGTTGTGTGTCCTGCAAGACTCAGTCAAAAGCACGGACATTTAGAATTTTGTGTTGAGTTTTTCCTTATCAGCTAAATTTTTTTTTTTAATATAATAAGTCAGTGCTCTGCACCTGAGCATCAGTCAGCCTGAGCAACTGCAGTTCTGGCTTAAAGAGAGCCGGCAATAATACACTTCTGACATGATTTCTGTTTATTCTTCCTCCTCCCCCTCCTTTTGATTAAGCACTTTTTGAATTTTTCCAAAGAGCTTCATGAATCATTCTATGGCTGCTTAATATTACTAGTAATGGGATTTGTTCTATTGAAACGGCTTTATTATCACGCCAGCTGCCAGCCTTGCTTCTCCAAACAGGCTTCTGGAAACGTTAAGACTCTCACAAATGCCTTTCTTGCAAGAGAACTTCTGTCTAAAACAGGAAAATGTACAAATATTAGCAAGGTTCCCACTCGGGTTAATGTAAATAGGCAACTGATATATCCCTAGCACCTATAGCAACATCCCTTGGGATCATTTGTGGATTTCCTTCAGTCTTTGGTGTCCCCGAACATCCTTACTTCCTTGTCCTACTCTCTGCCATTCTTCCAGTGGTCTTGCAGCCTCCCAACGACTCATCCATGCCTGTGCTCATTCCCTGTAGTCAGAAATAATTCTTCCCTCTTTTGTGCACATGGGTTGCATCCACAGATTTTTTTTTCCTCAAAAACCATCTAAGCTCCTTGAAGCTGAGATTACATCCATGTCACAATTACATGAGAACTTAGGAGCTATCTTTGCCAAGAAGCAATGAGTTCATACCTGTGTCCATCCTTCGTCCATGAGATTCTGACCTGCTTGCCTTTGTAAAAAAAAAATGGATATGTTTAGCAGGAATATGAGAGACTGGATCTTGAAACTGACCTCCAAAGACAAGATTTAAAAAAAAAGGCTTGTACTGATCTCTCAACAGAATGTTTTGAATGGATATCCTACACCCCTGAGAGTTAATTCTTTTCTCTTTCAAAATGGTGGCTCTTTAAGACTCCATTTTCCTAAGCCTGAAATAAACAGACATAACCTGGGGTCCCCCTGCCCTGGAAAAGGAGCAATTAGCAAATTTCACAGTTAAATGTGCCTATACTGTGGCACATGGTGCTCTTTAGGTTGAAAGATGACCATAAGCATCATGGGAAGGAAAGAAAGTCCCCTTCCATTTGACCACACTATAAAGAAACCCATTTTCCCTTAACAATTTTTATTTTCTAATTTCTTTTCTAAAATACAAAACATGGTGACTGGGGAGATGGCTTATTTATAAGATTACTTATGTAAATGTGAAAACCTGAGTTCAGTTCCCCAGCATTCATGTATAAATCTGGCATGGCCAATCACAACCCTGTTACCCAGCATGTACGCGGCGAAGACAGGAGGATTGCTGGGCTTGTTGGCTGCCAGCCTAGCTCTAGGCTAAATGAGAAACTCTGACTCAGTAAATGAGGCAAAGAGTAATAAAGGAAGACACCAGATGCCCTCCTTTGGCCTTCACAAGTGAATGCACATATATACCTCACACACATACACAGAGGGAGGTAGGGGAGAGAGAGATTAATTTAGGGGTAGATTTAATAAGTCTAAATGCTGAATTACAGCATTCTGTTTCTCAATGCATACTTAGAGCAATGCCATCACTCAGCGTCTCTATGTAGTTCCCAACATGCAATAGGACATCTAGAGTAATATTGTCCTAAACATCATGAACCGAAACAAGCTGGAGAAGGAAAGAGTTTATTTGACTCATAGCTTACAGTCTGTCATCAAAGAAAGCCAAGCAAGAACTCAAGCAGAGATCACAGGGAAACACCATTCACTGGCTTGCTCAGCTGCCTTTCTCAGACATCCCAAGCCTTCCGACCTAGAGACCATTCACCCACAGTGGGCAGTGCCTTCTTATATCAGTTAGCAAATAAGAAGCTGTACCACAGACATTCTTAAAGGCAAAGAAAATGAAGGCACCTCCTCAATTGAGGTCCCCTTTTCCCAAATGACACTAGTTTGTATCAAGTTAACCAATACATAAATAAATAAATAAATAACCAGCACCGCAAACCAAAGAAAATCAATGGTTCAGGGATATTACTGAGCCCATCTAGTAAGTACCGGGAAAGAAGGTCACAAGAAGGAAATGAGCTGATTTGTAAATTGCCTGATTAAAAAAATTCTCTGGAGAAAAAAAAATCTGCCTTTCATTGGACCCCTCTGTGGATTTCTGTTTAATGAACCTATATAATATTAAAAATAACACAGGTTAGAATCATATTTCAAATACAGTGACTATTCCAATAATAACCAGCAGAATATTGAACACTTTATCTAACCAGCATATCAAATATTTCACTTTATTTCTCAAATAAATGATGTGGGATTTCCCCTCTGTATGCTTTGAATATCATTGGTGAATAAAGAAACTGTCTTGGCCTGTTGGTAGGGCAGAATATAGGAAGGCAGGAAAAACTAAACTGAATGCTGGGAGAAAGAAGGGCAAAAGCCATGTAGTCCCACCAGAGAGAGACGCTGGAACTTTAGCTGGTAAGCCACAGCCATGTGGTGATCCAGAAATTAATAAAAATGGCTTAAATTAATTTGTAAGAGTTAGCCAATAAAAAGCTAGAACTAATGGGCCAAGCAGTGATTTAATTAAGACAGATTCTGTGTGATTATTTTGGGGCTGAGCAGCCGGGAACCAACAAGCAGCCTCATTACAACAAATAAATCAGCAATTTTCAAAAAGAGGAGAAGGAGGAAAAGGAGAAGGAAGATGAGGAGGAGGAGGGAAAGGGCATAAGAAACACACAGTAATGACAAATTCAAGTTTGAACACAATCTGCTTTCCTTAAAAGTGATTTATGCCAGGCAACAAATTCCTTAGCAAGCAAATCTCTCTCTCTCTCTCTCTCTCTCTCTCTCTCTCTCTCTCTCTCTCTCTCTCTCTCTCCTTCTTTCTCCCTCTCTCTCTTCCTCTCTCTTTCCCTCTCTCCCTTTCTGTCTCTCTTTCTGTATGTGAGTATGTGATTTCATAAATAAATTTCATTTAAAATCCTTAATAACTGAGCATTTGTGTCTGTTGTGCAGATCTGAGTTTTCCTATGTGAGCTAGCCTCTTACAACACATTCTCACTTCCACTTCATTTTCAGCCCTTTTAGGAAAGAAGAGAAATGATTGCTCTTTGTGGATAATCATTTGCCTAGCTGAGTATAGCACAGGACTAGGAAGATCAGACAGAAGGAATCATGGCAGGCCAGGTGGCATCCCTGTTAGAAACCTAGATTTCAAAAGAAAAGTGTGAAGAAAATGCAATACTTCTTTACCAAAACAAGAACAGAGCCCAACAACTGGTCCAGCCCAAGGCAATAGGTAGACAGACCAGCAAGACATGTGGTGTCTCTTTCTCTAAGGAACAAAAACTGGGTTATCATCTGTGCCCAGAATGTTCTTCTCTGTTCCTTGGAAGAAAGTCTTCTACTTCAAATCACTGTAGTTGTGAACAGCCTTCACCAGGCTCTTCTCATAACATTGATGTTACCAGCACTCAACCAAGCACGTATTTCTTTTCTTCTCTCCTTCATAGCTCTCCCATCCTTTCTGCTTCTTGTGTAGAATGTATCAAGAAAAAAAATCAAGCTAGGCGTGCTGTTAGATTCTTGTAATCTCAGAACTCGAGGAGCAGTAGGCATCTAAGTCCCTGGTTAGCCTGGACCCAATCGGAAGATTCTGTTCTCGTCTCAAGGTGAATGGGGTTGGAATAATTACAGTGTAAAGTCTTCCCTTGCCTGGATCCCATAGAAAGACACTGTTCTCATCTCTAGGAAGGTGGGGTTGAAATGATTTCGGGGTAGTCTTCAAAATGGAGTATCTCAGACATTTTTGCATCCATACTTTAGACTCTGCTGCTCACACTCATGCATTAAGTTTTAAGCTGACATCTTGGAGCCATTTTTCCATACCTGACTTTTATTGACCATTTTATTTTGTTTTCTATTACCTTATCCAAGCAATCTACCAAGGGATGTTCACAGTCACCGAAATCACAGATCACATGGCCTTCTTCAGCACCAATCTGAAACCCTTATGATAAGATGATACATTCCTTGTTCCTTTCATGACTTGACATTTTAGCCACAGCCTTCACTCAGTAAAGCATCATCTGTGTGTAAACGCAGCTAGGAAGCTGCGGCTCGAGAGCCCTGAATAAACATCTTCTTTCTTTGTTCTGAACCCAAAATAAAATTGATTCAGGAGGTGCACAAAGGCCCAGGTGCCCATGTGCTTAAACATAATCCCAGCCTTGGATTCCCTACAGCTTCCTCCCTGCTGTTTCTAGCAATAGAAATTAAAGGGGAAAAAATAAAAATAAAAGTAAATGGACAAAAAGAAATCATAGAATGCCTTACTACCAGAGGGAATAATAAAATGGGAGAAAAGGGAGGATTTGGATATGGTAGAAAAACCTCAAAATGAAGTTCAGCGGGTTTTGTTTTGCTTTGCCTTGCCTTATTTTATCACGAATCCTCTAATACTCATTGTATTGGGTGTCATCTTTCTTGCTATTTTTTTAACACTCTCACTATGTAAAACTTAGCAGACTAAAATATCCATATTGGATTCTTCTGTTTGAATTAATATGACTTACCAATATCCAAAAATAATTTCATAAGCTATGACTTGTTTATAAGATGATAGGACTAGCAGAAGAGGAAATGGATAAACAGTCTAAGGCCTCCTTTGTGTCCCTGCCTCTGGAACAGTCCTGTCATCCTCCCCTTCCTCAGCTGGATTTGAGTGCGGTTGCCTATTGTCTAATCCAGAGAATGAAGAGGAACAAAGAGAGCAGCACCAGGTAAGGAAACCACTAACCCCGCTCCCCCAAAGCCTTCTAGGGGGTTGAAAAACACTCTCGAGGATTCATTCCACCTTTCCTTTAGATGATATCTATCCTACCCAGGCCTACTCCAGTTCTTCCTCTAGAATTAGGTGAGTCACCACTATCCTGAGCCAGAGCAGGCCTGAGTGAAGGTCTGCCCCCAGTGCAATCAGCAGACCTGACACCTAGGATGGCTGGTATGATCAATCATCTGGATCCATCTGGTACTTGGAACATGGATAAAGAGAAACAAAAGAACAAGAACAAAGTCCAGGAGCTTGGGAATGGCTCAGTGGTTAAGAGCACTTGCTGCTCTTCCCACAGACCTGCATTCCGTTCCTGGCACCCGTATTAGGCTGCTTATAATTGTGGATAACTCTAGCACAGAGTGATGTGTTGCTTTTTTTTCTGGCCTCCATGGGCACCCACATATAAATGAGCACACACATACAATCAATCAATCAATAAATAAATAAATAAACAAACAAACATCTTAATCTGAATTAGAAAGCATGAAATGCCCCCATATAATATTTTTATAGATAATGATGGATGATGAAAAGGTCCTCTAGTTGTGTTGTAATATCTAGCATGAATTTTCAACGTAGGATCATTGTACTACATGGTTACAAGTTATTAGCTGCTGATTTAAGTGGTAAGGTGTTTGCATAGCTGGCTAGGGAATAGAAGTGTATTATTCCTCAAAGGGACTTGAGCTGGTATTTTTAAAAAGTTAGTGACAATGGAGTGTTTCAGTAGGAATGAGTTAAGTCCTGGAAACTCCTGAGAATATCTGTCTGTCAAATGTTTAGTGAAGACTCTGAGTCACAAGCATAAACAACTCCATGATCCAGCACAGAAGAGTTCAGTTCCAGTTGCTTAGGAGGCTGAGGCAGGGGAATTATTGGAGAATGGCAGGAACACTTTTCAGTCATCTCCATCCCTTACAGCATCCCCCACACAATCAATTGCCAATTAGTCTTATATCTAATATAATATTTCCAAAAGTCATTTGATTTTCCCAATATCTACTGCCAATTACTGTCTTAGGCAGCCAACCACAAGGCACATTTACCTGACGAAATGCTCAAATTTCAGGCAAGTGATATTCTACCACTGAACGACATTTCAACCCCTTTCTGCAGTACTTTTATTAATGTCTTCCTGATTCCAACTGGCAATTGGTTATTTACTTACACGTCTCTCCCACTGATCTCTCAGACCTTAAAGGAATCATGTAATTTGTTAACTACTTGACCCCTGCTCTACAGCATCATGGGCATGCATGAATGAATGGCAAGTTTGGTGGTACAATATTTAAGAGCATACATTCTACCACAATGTCTGTGCCTGGTTCTTTTCTCTGATAACAATGTTGTGACCTCCATCAAGCTGTTTACTTTGTTATGCATTGGTTTTACAATCTAGATTCAGATCCATATGAAAAGAAGAAATAACATATAGGCTGATGGGGATTAAAGGAGATAATGGATATAACACATCATATTATCTAATGCATGGAGCAATTAGTGGTACTATATGTTAAACATATGCATATTCTCAGTGTTCCTGAAAGCTGGGTATCTGTCAAGTCACATCTCACATCCTAAATGTTTTGACTCACTGTGGCAAGTGACATTTCCTTGAAATTCTGTGATGGAAAAAGGCTTAAGTAATGAGTCATTTTGTAGGGTATGTGTGTGCCATTACCATACTTGACATTCATGCTTTTCCTTCTCTTTGTCCAGCCATATCATTTCTACTGTAGTCTTTCCCAAGTGTTAGTTCTACTATTAAACTTTGCTTTGGCAGGAATTTTCCTTTCTTTATACTGATGACCCTGGTAATCATTCTCTGTCTTCTATGTTCTCATGTATGTGCTGCCTTACTTTTTAGTGTGATGTGTGTGTGCACATATTCCATGATTTGTGAACACACAGACCTTCTCTTATATTCTTATATTCACAACCAGCCTAAAAAAATTCAAACAGAGAATCATTAACAAAAAAGAAGAGAGATGAAACATCAACTTCTTAGTGAGCAAGAGGAAGCTTTGATAGACTGCTTTGAGAATCTACAAAGAAGAAAAGCAAAAAGATTAAAATAGAGAAGGAAAACGTACATACATGTGCATAAACATTATTAGGTCTTCTTCCCCACACATGTCTACACAGAACTGGCCATTGCCAATGCCTCTTTTTCTTACAATAAGGAAGAAAAACATTTTAAGCAAGAGTCAGTATCTGAGACAAGACTGTAAGACAAGAGCCATCAGGGCGATTCCAAACTTGTGTTTCTCCAATGCTGTGGTTAAAAGATGATTGCTTAGCGATATGTGTACAAAATGAAGTTTGATAGTATCTATTAAAGAAACCTAATATCTAATCAGTGCCCTAGGTATGAGTGGTAGCCTAGTTACTGGAACTGGTGTTAATGTGACCGCTCTATTCCTGGTCTTCACGGGAAAGTCTGGGATCTGGTAGCCCCTTTAACAAAAGAGCTTAAGAAAAGTGTGTTAGGAAAATGTTCCCTTCTCACCAAATGCATTCTAAGCTTTGTAATACATCTTCTCCATGAAATATGTATATGAAATGTCTAATACCACAGAGACCTTGAAAGCTCCATCAATTGCTTGTTCTAACTCAAGTTTCCCGGAGAATACATTTGATTGATTCTGTTAATTCAATATTTGTACCAATTCAAGAATATTATCACCTTGGTACTTGAATAAATCAACTTGGATAACAGAGTAGTCACAGAGGCAGGAAATATGTTCACACTGAGAGGGGGAACTGCTTCCCAATGTGCAACGGTTTCTGTACAAATCAAACTGACAGGAAGCTGACCTATATGTTTCAAGTCTGTCATTGTCAAGGCATGAGCCAGAAGATTCTGTGGAACTTCTAAAGAGCTCCCACACAAAGCCATGAAATAAGTGGGGGGGGGGGCTCCCAAAATAAAGTCTTCATGACAAGAGTCTCACATCAGATGAAGTGATTCCAGGGATGTCTCTTGTACATACCCAAGAGTATGAAAGTGTATCTGTGTTCTGAAGTGGCTTATGAATAATCTTCAGAAGCCATTGTGGTAAAAGTCTGGCTTGCTAGGTGGCACTGCTGGGAGGCAGTAGAAACTTTGTGAGGTAAAATCTCTTTGGTGGGGGTACTCTCTGGCCCTGGAGCAGCAAGTCCATGCAATCAGGTCAGGTGGGCAATGGAGGGCAATTGTAACAGCCTGCAATGCTGGGAGTCTCAGGGGTCTCCCGAGCCAACAACTCATAAGTAAGAATTCCACAGATAATAACTGGGGTGATCCTTTAATAACTTTGGCTCCTGGGAAGGGCATTAGCTACCCTATGGGGTGTCGCTATCGAATATTTTAATTACATTTTTAATACACTTGGAAAACAATAGGTTTCCATAGGGTTTTTCCATACAACCTTAGTCTTTGGGAAGCCATCTCCACAATCTCTACCTTCCCTGTACTCCAACCTCTATCCCCACGTAAGTTTTCACTGGGGAACCCTCAGTGTTCCTCCCAACTGTTTTTATATCTCATGTCTTCTGTCACCTCCTTTCCGTTAAGGTCTCTCCCAACCAACCACCTTTGTATCCTTTCTAGCTTCTAATGGCCCCTTCTAGTTCCCATCTCACTGCAGGCATTCCAAGTTAAACACAGAAGTCTAAGAATTCAATGTTAGTATCCCCAAATAAGAAGAAAATGTGGCAATCGTCTGTCGGGGGCCTCGTTACCTTCCTCGGTATCCTTTTTATTCTGTCTCGTTCATTTTCCTACAAATTTTATAACTTCATTTTCTTTTACCCTGAATAAAATTATATCGTACCTATTTATGTTCATCATCTGTTCCTCACTTGATGGCCCGCTGGTCTTGTTCTGTGTCTTTACTATTGTGAACACAGCTGCAGGGAAGGTGGATCTGCAGGCGTGCTCTTATCGCTGCCGTAGAATGTAGTCCTTGGTCTGTGCCTAGGAATTGAGTGGGCGAGTCATAATGGTGATCTTTTTCTGATGTCTGAGAAACCTCCATGCTGATTTCCACAGTGGCTGTGCCACTGTGTATCCCATCCAACAGAGACTAAAGGTTCCCCTTTTGCCCACATCTTTACCCACAATTGTAGTTTGTTTTTGATTGTAGCCTCTGTGACTTAGATGGGATGGAATCTCAACATAGTTTGAACTTGCATTTCTATGATGGCTAAGGGCATTGAATAACTTGTAAAACAAATACTTCCTAAGCAATTGTAAGTTAGGTTTTTCTTTGAAAACTCTTTTGTTCAGCTTCACGTATCATTTTCAATTGGGTTGCTTGTTTTATTTTTTAAATAATTTTAGATTTGTTTATTTTATTTCTTTATGGTTGTGAGTGTTTTGCCTATTTGTACATCTGTATATCAAGTGTGTGCAGTGACAGAAGAGGCCAGAAAAGGGTTCAATCCCTGGAATTGGAGCTACAGAGAGGTGTGACCCACTCTGAGTGCTGGGAATCAAACCTGGGTCCTCTGCAATAGCAGCCAGCACTCTTAATCACTGAGCCATCTCACCAGCCCTGGGTTGTTTGTTTCCTTGATTTCAGTGGGATATTTTTGTATATTAAAAAATATTCTAGACATTAATCCTGTGTCAGATATTCAGTTTGCAAAGAGTTTCTTTCATTCTGGAAGCTCTCACTTGGCAGTTTCCTTTGCTACAATTTGTTTTTTTTAACTTTCGTGATCCTGTTTTCCAATGGGATCCTTAAATGCCCAACATCCTGTTCCTATTCTTATGTAATATATCCTTACCTATTTCTATATCTTGACAGGTACTCCTGAACTTTTCACGAAGCAGCTTCTGAGTTCCAGTTCCTATGCTGTTAATTAAGGTCCTGATGCTTTGGGTCATTTTTTTCATGCAGAGGAAAAGATGCAGATCTAGTCCATTTTTCCGCTGCACCAAGACGAAGAGATGTGGATCTAGTTTTTACTTAATTGGTTAATTTTCCCTGCAGAATTTATTTTCCCCTTCCTCCCTCCTCTCCTTCCAGTCCCTCCTCCCAACCTCCTTTCTTCCCTCCCCTTATTTCTTACTCCTCCTTCCTCTTCATAAAAGGGCAGGCCTTCCATGTAAACCAGTCAGCCATAGCATATGAAATTGCAGTAAAACTGGGCACCTCTTCTCCTATTGAGGCTGGACAAGGTGGGAGAAGAGGGTTCCAAAGGCAGATAATAGAGCCAGAGCCAGCCCTTGTTTCTATTGTTAGGAGTCCTAAAAGAAGACCAAGGTACACAACCACATAACTGTAATATACATGTAGAGTGCCTAGGTCAGACCCACACAAGATCTGTGGTTGTTGGTTTAGTCTTTGAGCCCCTATGAGTTTAGGTTAGTTGATTCTGTGGGTTTTCTCCTAGGCCCCTCTGGCTCTCACAATCCTTCCTCCCCCTCTTCCACATGACTCTCAGAGCTATGTCTAAGGTTTGACTGAAAGTCTCTGCTCTGTTTCCATCAGTTGCTGGGTGAAGCATCTATGATGACAATTGGGCTAGGCAGCCATCTATGAGTTTAGCAGAATATCATAGGAAAAATTTCATTGACTTGCCTGGTTACAGGAAAGGGCTGATTCAGTCTCCTTGTCCCACATTGTTAAGAGTGTTAGCTAGGGTTACCCTCATTAAATTAACCTACATTATTTAATTAATTTAATTAATTAATTAAACAGGATTGGTTTTGTTTTGGTTTGCTTTTTTGGTATCTAGTTTCTCGAGTTCTTCATGCATGTCAGATGTGGTGTTGGTGAAGATCTTTTCCCATTCTGTAAGTTGCTGTTTTGCCCTATCGACAGTATCCTTTGCTTTACAGATGTCTTCAGTTTCATGAGATCCCATTTATTAATTGTTGATCTTATTGCCTGTGTGTTTGATGTTCTGTTCACAAAGTTGACACCTGTGTCAGTGTGTTGAAGACTATTCCCCACTTTCTCTTCTATCAGGTTTAGTGTATCGATCCACTTGGACTTCAGTTTTATGCAGGGTGATAAATAAGGACCTATTGTATTGTACTACATTCTGACATCTAGTTAGACCAGCACCATGTGTTATTATTTTGAATCTTTTAATGCTTTCTTTTAGTTAATTTGGCTATGGTTTTGTCAATTTTGTTTTTCTTTTCAAGCAATAAATACTTCATTTATTTATTGTAGCATGTTAATCATTTCTTTTTCATTGACTTATGGTCTCTTCTTAATTATTCCTTCATGTATTCTCCTTTTGATTTAGTTTTTTTGTTGTTGTTGTTGTTCTTTTCTAAATGCCTTTATGTATGCCAGCTAGCTTTTTATTTGAGTTATGTTTTTTAATGTAGGCTCTTACAACTATATATTTTTTCTTAGTACTGCTTTTATAACATCCCAAATAATTTGGTATATTGTGTTTTCAGTTTTATTCAGTTATGGAAATTTTTTCTATTTCTTCAATAGCTTATTCATCAGTCAATAGTGTGTTTTTTAATCTTCATGAGTTTGTGTGTTTTCTGTAGCTTCCATTGGTATTGGTATCCAGATTTATTCCATTGCCATCCAATAAAACAGAAGGTGTTACTTAAACTTCCCCAAACTTGTTATGACTTTTTTTTGGTGTACTAATGTGAGATCAATATTGGAGAAAGTTCCATAGGCTGCTGAGAAGAATGTGTATTTTTAGCATCTGAGTGGAACGTTCCACAGATGTCTGTTAGGTCCATTTCATTTATCATGCCATTTATTCAATCCAGTGTTTCTCTATTTTTATCCCAGTGACTTCTTTATCAGTCAGTCAAGCATTGAACTTCACCACTATTACTATGTTTGGATTAACCTGTGTGTGTCTTTATATGTAGGAGCATTTGTTTGGCAAAACTGAGCACAGCTGTGTTTGATATACTTATGTTTAGAATTACAATGTCATTTTGATGGATTGTTTCTTTGATCACATGAAATGAACGTACCTATCTCTTCTGTCTAGCCTTGGCTTGAAGTCTATTTTTTCAGATATTAAAACAGTGATGAAAAATTATTTCCTGCTTCCATTTGCTTGGAATGGGATTAAGACCATTATATCCAGAGTTATTAATGAACAGTGTATATTAATTACTGTCATTTAAAACAGATTGTAGTCTGTTTTTGTTTCACAGCCCTCTTTTGCTAAACATAACATTAGTATTGTTTAATCCCCCCGTAGTCTGTTAGATGTATTTATCTCCTTTTTATGATGCTTTCGCAGTTGTTACCTTTTAAAATTTGAAACAAATTTTTGCAAGTCCTTTCTGACTTTTAACCTTCGGGAACCTGAATAGGACCAATTGAATGGGGGTGGGAGTTGTAAGGTTTGGTCAATCTGGGAGGCCACTGGCAGTGGGACCAGGATATATTCTTAGTGCTTGAACTGGCATCTTGGAGCACATTCTCTTTGGAGGGATGCTTTACTCAGTCTAGATATAGGGGGGAGGGCTTCATTGACTCCTCATGGGAAGCCTTACCCTTTCTGAGGGGTGGATAGGGAGTGGGGGAAGGTCGGGCAGGAAGAGGGGAGAGAGTGGGAATGGGGATAACTATGTAAAATGAGAAAAGATTGTACTAAAAATTATTAATTAAAAAAACACAGCTGTTACTCGGATAAGCTTGCTTTTGTATGTGACTGGTCATCCCTTCTTTTAGCTCAATACTCTTTTTCTCTTTTTAGACTGTATGTTAAAATTATGTGACTTAATTATGATTGACTTGGTGAGTCTCTTTTTTGTTTTTGTCCTTTTGGTGTCCTCTGTGTCTTTTGAATTTGCATAGGCAATTCTTTTCCTAGCTTTGAGACATTTGTTTTTATGATTTAATTGATAATATTTTCTGTTTGGGCATGAAATCCTTCTGCTTTTATATCTATAATGTGCTTTGTCTTTCAGAGTGTCCCAAATATTTTGTATGTTCCATTTGCACACTTTTTAAATACATCATTGGTCTAAACTAAATGATTCAAGTCTTCTGCCTTGTCTTCATGTCCTGATAGTGCATCCTTCATATTCATTCTATTGGTGAATCCTCCATTCTATTGCTGAGTATTTCTCCTTGAATGTTTTTTTAAAGTATTGTTTTTTTTTCATTTCCATCATTGTTACACTGGGCTTTAGTCACTATTTCTATTTATTGAATTCTATTTTCACACCCACAATTAACTTTCTTATTTAATTCAGCAATGCAGAAGTATTTCCTTTTCACCACAACCTCTCCAGCATAAGTTGTCATCAGTGTTTTTGATCTTGGCCATTCTTACAGGTGTAAGATGGAATCTCAGAGTTGTTTCGATTTGCATTTCTCTGATGACTAAAGATGTTGAACATTTCCTTAAGTGTCTTTCAGCCATTTTAGATTTTTCTGTTGAGAGTTCTCTGTTTAGGTCTGTACTCCATTTTTTTATTGGATTATTGGTTCTTTTGATGGCTAATTTCTTGAGTCCTTTGTATGACTTCAAACTCTACTACAGAGCTACAGTACTGAAAACAGCCTGGTATTGGCATAAGGACAGACAGGAGGACCAATGGAACAGAAGACCCGGATATCAATCCACACACTTTCGAACACCTGATTTTTGAAAAAGAAGCAAAAAATATCAAAAAAAAAAAAGAATATTTAACAAATGGTGCTATCATAACTGGATATCAACATGTTGAAGAATGAAAATAGATCCATATCTATCACCATGCACAAAACTCGTCCAAATAGATCAAAGACCTCAGCATAAAGCCAGCCACACTGAACCTCATAGAAGAGAAAGTGGGAAGTACACTTGAACACATTGGCACAGGAGACCACTTCCTAAATAGAATCCCAGCATCACAGACACTGAGAGAAACAATTAATAAATGGGACCTCCTGATACTGAAAAGCTTCTGTAAAGCAAAGTCTACAGTCAACAAGACAAAACGATAGCCTACAATGGGAAAAGATCTTCACTAACAGCACA